GTTCCATACAAGTTCCATACTACAAGTTGCTCGTGTTTTTGATGTCGGATTCTCATAGCATCGCAGTTGTCTTAAATCCTGATTAATTCTCTGTCACATCTTTCGTTAACCCAATGAAGTTTTCACGGAGATAAATGAAAAGTAGTACGAAAAAGAAATAGGGGTTAGGGTTTTTTGACAATTTGACAGTAAAGTGCAGGTAGGTGTTCCATTTGAAGCATGAGAAAGTCAGTGATACTGATGTATCAGTTAGTATGGACAAAGCTTCGAACAGTATGTTTGTTTTTGATCCCGTAATGTTTAACTCACTTTTTAAATAGGGATTTATTTTAATGTATGTGCATCTGCTTTGCATACAGTGGGTAAATAGTGTTTTTCTTTGGGTTGGATTCAAACTAAATTTGAAGCATGATTTTGATTTATCACCGAATGCACCGTACCCTAGAAGCGAGAGGGACATCATTTGTGTGTGTGTGTGTGTGTGTGTGTGTGTGTGTGTGTGTGTGTGTGTGTGTGTGTGTGTGTGTGTGTGTGTGTGTGTGTGTGTGTGTGTGTGTGTGTGTGTGTGTGTGGCCTGCTTCCCTTCAGCTCCCCATGCACCTTCGTAATTAGTGTGTTCTTGGTAATGTAGTCTAATGGCTTGACAGGAACCCTCTGAAATGCTGATGAACATCTGTTTGGCAGAAAACTCAGCACACACACTCTCTCTTCATCTCTCCTCCACATTCTGACTGAAACGTGAACTTAAAACACACAGCCTGGTGTCCAATCAACAGTGTTTGTTTAAAATATATGTAAAGGATGTCAGTTTTCTACCTGGGAGAATGAATGCCGGCAAAAAACTCAGACACCTGTAATTACAGAAATAACATTCTGCCTCACAGAGCGGCTTTAATTTGCATTTTAGACAGTTTTGTGACACAGACACACACACAAGAAAGAATTCTTCCAGTTGTTCATCTCTGCAGTGAAAAGAGCCAGCAGAGATGAACACTGTCCTTTTTTTTCTTTGAACACACGCACAAATAAACTGACCTGCTGAATTTCTAACAGGTCAATGACAACATGGAGTACCATTTACATGAGAGCAGGTGGCTTGTCAGAGTGTTTCTGTGTGTCTGTGTCCTTGTTAGGGCTGTACAGTTTGCTACCCCTAACAAGGTCACGGAATTTCTCAGTGCACCCTGGGAGAAGGAGCAACCTGTATGTGTGTTTGTGTGTGTGTGCTCTCGCCAGCTGGCAGATACCCAATCTGCTGTCAGTGTTGGCCCTTCTCCTGGGGACAGATCTACTGACTAGTTAAGGAGGAAAGCGGTGAATCTGACTCCTCTTTCTCTCTCTCTTTTGACTCCTTTCTTCCTCTCTGTCTTGTCTCCATCACTCTCTCTTCTTGTCCTCCTGTCATTCTCTGAAATGTCAGAGAAGAACCGATTGTGAAAAGTGTGTATGTATGCATTTTTGTAGTTATGTTCAGTGCTTGAATTGGGCTGGTACTCACCGGTACACAGTACCGGCACTTCTGATTTTTACCCATGTGGGACCGGCACTTCTTACTGAGTACCGGCAAGGTGCCGGCACATCATGACGCACAGTGGCGGCGCCAGGGTATGGATGGGGTAGGCTACAGCCATACCAAAACATTGCTTAGCCCCACCATGAAAAATGATGTTAAAGTAAGCAAAATAAAGTCTGCCAACTCGCGCGACGTAAATTGCACAGCCAGTGGCGACTGGTCATTAGGGGCAGGCACAGCCCCACCTAGTGTCAGCAGAAAGTATTAAAAATATTGATTACAAAAAAATAAAAAATAAAATAAAGACAAATATTTTAAGATCATGTTTAATCATCTGATTTGTCTGTACTTTGCTGTTTTAGTATGTTTTCTTCTAATTAGTGTCTACAGTGTGTGCCTATTGAGCTGTTTAGAAAGGCTCTAAACATGTGGGACAAAGCCCGATCATGCCCCTCCCTCTCACTGCGCATGCTCAGAGTATTTTCTTATTTAATGTGTGTGGCAAAAAAATAATGACCATAGGGGCATAGAGCAAGCCCCCAGAAAGTGAGCCGGACTCAGATGAAAATATTCGTGGTGGCCAAACTACACTTCTGTTTGGATGCCAGGCCCGGAAACACTTTTTCCCATTGACTTACATGGGGAAAGAGTGGTCTGTAAATCGTTGGATACTTTTTTAAAAACTAAATAAACTACCCAGTATGAACACTTGTATAGCCCTTATTAAAAACATTAGTTCCAAAAGTTGTAAAAACGTGCTAATAACGTTATTCTGAGAGTTATTTCCCTCTGCATTATGAACGTGCATCAAACCCACGGGACCGCGCCTCCCGGCACGTTCATGTTCCGTGTTCAGCATGGTCCCGACCAATCAGAGCACACTGTGCTCACAGGGAGGGTGGGGGCTGGAGCTACAACGAGCCGTTAAAGAAAGAGAGTGAAATTCAGTGAATACAATACACGTAGTTTACAGAGATGTTGTATGAGAAACCAATGTGAGTTGCGTTTATCTTTACCCATGGATGCACAATAAGAACGGACCCATATCGTCTTACTGCCATCCCACGGAGCTGTAATAATGGATATATTGCACATGTTTGCTGTAATTCATTATTATACTACATGGGCTGTATTATTAAATATTGTACCGTAAATGTTGTATTAAATAAAGTTAATATTACCGACGCTAGGTTAACGTCCCTGTAGCTTCTTATTGCACTAAGAAGCGTATTGCACTATGTATATATATATATTTAAGCAATAGCTCACGACAGGCCGTGGTATATGCTCATTATATCACAGCTAAGGGGCGTGGTTCGGCCCGACGCGAAGCGGAGGGTCGACACCCCCTTAGCTGTGATATAATGAGCATATATCACGGCCTGAAGTGAGCTATTGCTTTTATAAAACGGTTACCAAGTGTGGCAATATGAAAGAAAAATACACACTCTAATTTAAATATTTTTTATTNTGGTGCTGCGTCATTGCCTCATCGTTTGCGTCATGACGTAACCGTTTGCGTGCCTGCTTCATAAAGCCAAAACCGTGCGGACACCCCTCACAGCTGACACCGACAACAACAACAATGGCCGATTGTGCTCCAGCTTCCTCTGTACCTCTTCAGAAGACCAGATTCCCAGTAGGTAGCTGGTCTCTTCAGTGGACCACTGCTGCTTGTTAAGTTTCTCCATCGTTGTGGATAAAACGCGGGCTTTTTGTTGTTGTTCAGGAGTTGATCCCGCCCCTGCCCCCACCTCGACGTAAGCGTGACGTATGTGGTGCTTTTGCTCTAGCCGGACAATTTGTTGGTGCTTGAAACGAACCGGATTCCGGAGCTAAGAGGCTGCTCCGCTGCGGTGTGAACAGGAAAACCCGGTGCTTTTCAGGCTCCAGCTCCGAACCGGCCCTGAAACACCGTTGGTGTGTGTAATGGAGGTGATCTCTGGGGCCATAGATCTCGGCCTCCGTTACGGATTGTGTAGCTTCGTTGGTGGTGAAGTGTATGTAGTTTGTGCATCTGTCTGTGTTTTAGTTTGCTGGTTTTATTCTGAAAAGTGTTCCCCTTTCCTCATGTGTGTTTCCTGATTATGTTCACCTGGTGCCCTGTGTTGTCTCCTCCCCCCTCACCTGTGTCCTGTTGGGTTGATTGGGTTGTGCATTTAGGCTCTGGGGTTTTTCTGTTATGGAAAGTGTGTGTGAGATCCTGGTGGCTGCAGGCTGTGCTCAGGGAAACAACAGCAGGATTGAGGCTGTGTGTCATTATGTTGATCATTTAATAAATGCCCACACCGGGTTATATGTGGGATGTTCTGCTTCTGCCTCCTTGCTTGGTCGGGCCGCTCAATTGTCAGCATCACAGTGTGAATGAGAGAGTAATGTCAAATGACAGTACAATAATTGACCAATCATATCTTCCCTCTAAATGGGTGGGCTTTATTATCGCGGACTTTATGACAAGTTCCGCCCGCTGTGATCATGCATTTGTTATAACAACGGGTCAAGCTAGGCAGAAGTAGCTAATTAGCATACGTTCATTCACGATGGCTCACGTCAGTGATAGTGATGACATCGTTGTGAAATTATTAACCGAGTCATTTTCAAGATTGAGTTCCAATGATAAACTGGAGGGGCAAATAAATATGAACCAAAAACATAGAATAATGCACTACGTTGTTGTTTCACTGCAGGTTGTGCAGCTGCATGACCCGCCTTCAAGTACTTCATCCAAAAGGACAGGAGGAGGATGGACTTTGTGTTTGATGTGTTTTGCAC